GGACCCCGCACACCCGGGGCAGTGCCGGTACCGACCCCCTATGGACCCCGCACAACCGGGTCAGGACCGGTACCGACCCTCCCAAGCAGCCCCCGGTACCGACCCCCTCTAGACCCCACCCAACCGAGGCAGGACCAGTACCGACCCCCCTTTAGACCCCGCACAACCGGGTCAGGACCGGYACCGACCCCCTCTACACCCTGCACAACCGGCCCAGGTGCCGGTACCGCCTCTCCTGCGGGCCCTCCCGAGCACACCCCGCTACCGCCCCCCCTCTAGACCCCCCCACAACCGGGTCAGCCCCCGGTACCGACCCTCCTCCGCGCCCGGTACCGCCCCCCGGCGGCTCGGTGCCCCCGCCCCCACCTGTCCCGGTGCAGCGCAGCCCGCGCGCCCCCTCCCGTCGCGCAGTGACGTCAGAGGGCGGGCCGCACGGCGCCGCGCGGGGGCCGCTGGGGGTTGTAGTGCGGGGCGGGGCAGCGCCACGTGGCAGTGCGCATGCGCCGAGCCGCGCTCACCCCCGCCCCCCCCCGGTTCCCTCCCCGTTCCCTCCCCGTTCCCTCCCCGCCGGCGGGCGGGATGGCGGCCCCGGTGCCGCAGGAAGGCGCCGCGCTCGGCAGGAAGCGCGCGGCTTCCTCCGCGCCCGCCCGCTCCCACGGCCCGTGCCCCACCGCGGGCTCCCCCCGGAGCCTGCGCCCCTTCCCGCCGGGTCCGGGGGGCACCGGGGGCTTCTGTCACATCCTCCCCCGTCCCGGGGCTGGGTCGGGTGCGGGGAGGAGCTGGGAGCACCGGGACCCCCTCCGGGATGCAGGATCCGCAGACACGGAGCTACAAAGGGATCGCTTTATTGGTGGGCGCAGAGCCCCCCCGGCCCCCGCGCAGGGGCCACGGGACCTCAATTCCTCTTCCTGCCTTTGCCAACAGCCTTGGCGGGGGCGGCGAGCGGCGCCGCGGACTGGTAGAGCGTTGAGGAGATCTTGTTGATGTAGTAGAGACCAACCATGGAGAAGATGAGGCTGGGAGGAAGGAAAAAGGGGCCTGGTTGGCCTGCACAATGGGAGCGGCCAGGCCGCTCGGTCACCGCTCCCGGTGTGGCAGGCTCCAGACTCACCAGGTGGTCACGCAGACTCGGTGGATGAGGCCAGAGGCGAAGAGGGCCAGTAAGAGGCAGGTGAGAACTGCAGGGAAGAGCAGCAGGGATCAGAGAGAGCCCAACTCCTCAGCCCGAGCCCGGCGGGAGCGGGGAGGCAGCAGCAGAGGTGACCGACGGCAGGGATAACCGGGATAACTGGGATAACTGCTCCGGGGGGACCATCGCGGTGGAGTCCTTTGCCAGATTAGGGCTAGGACCCTATGGAGTGGTGCTGGGCAGCGCAAAGCGGGTCCTCYGCAAACCCAACCCGCCCTCCGCTCCTGCAGCCCGGATGGCTCCGTATCCCGGAGAGCTTCAGGAGACAGAAACTTCTCTCCCCGCCTCCCCGGCGCAGCCCCACTTACTCTCCGGGAATATCTTGGCCTGGAATCCTTTCCCGAAGACCAAGTTCTCCAGGTTGTTGAAGGCCTGCAGGGCGGGTTAAGGGGAACAGCAGAACCAGGGCGACGCGGGGCCCGCCCCGAGCCGCCGGCGCAAAGGATACGGTGAGGGAGAAGATGAAGAGCGCGGAGCCCAGCAGGCCGCCCTGGATGGTGAGCCACTCGGTGGAGGCGAGCTGCCGGCTGTACATCTGCATGCCGGCGAAGAGCAGCAGCGAGAGCAGCGAGGAGAGCGCCAGCGACGTGCCCGTGCCCACGGCTGGCGGCGGGGCGGCCCGTCACGGCGGCCGCCCGGGCTCCCCGCCGCCCCCGCTAGCCCTGCGCCTCATGGCGGCCTCCGTGGTCACCACACGCTATGGCGGCCCCCACGATGACCACACGCTATGGCGGCCCCCACGATGACCACACGCTATGGTGGCCCCCATGATGACCACACGCTATGGCGGCCCCCATGACAGTGGCAGCCCCCATGATGACCACACGCTATGGCGGCCCCCATGACAATGGCGGCCTCCATGATCACTGCACGCTATGGTGGTCCCCATGACAATGGCGGCCCCCATGATGACCACACACTATGGTGGCCTCCAGGACAAGGGCGGCCTCTGTGATCACTGCACCGCATGGCAGCCCGCATAACAATGGCRGCCCCCATGACAATGGCGGCCCCCTGACAATGGTGACCTCTGTGATGACCACACACTATGGCGGCCTCCATGACAATGGCGGCCTCTGTGATCACTGCTCCTTATGGTGGCCCCCATGACAATGGTGACCCCCATGACAATGGCGGCCTCCATCAGCAGGGCACCCTACAGAGGCCCCCACAACAATGGCAGCCACCATGGTCACGGCGGCCGCCATGATCAGGGCACCCTACGGAGATCCCCTTGACAATGGCAGCCCCCACGACCACGAGAGTCCTGCCAGACCCCATTCCCACGATGCCCCGCGGGCCTCCCGTTACCTCGGTACCCTCCCCCGTTCACCCCCTCCCCCCCAAACCCCGTTCCCGTCGGCGCCCCCGCCGGGACGCCTCGTTACCCATGATGCCCCGCGCGGTCCCCCCGGCCCGAGCCCGTCCGGCCGCGTCGCTCTCCGCACAGGCCCCGCCCCCGCCGCAGGGGATCCCCGGGCGCGCATGCGCGCGGCGCCGCCCGCTCCAGCAAGGACACGGCAGCAGCTACAGCAGCGCGGGGGAGGGGAGCAGCGCGCA